TATTTTGTCCTTATCATTAAAACTCAAAGTTTTCAAACATTTTTCATTAGTTTTTTTTTTTTAACTCGTTTGTGAAATTGTTCAAGAAAATTCACCAAATATTATCTTTAATTCTGAAATGAGCAATTTCGTAATGGATTTGGGCCTCCACACCCATCCTTGATCAAAAGGAGTTGGGCCTAACTCTTCTAAATCCAAAATTTTAAGTTAGGCCCGATTTAAAATGATTTGGGCCTGCGAAATCTGCTAATTTAATATCTTCAAATTTTGTTATTTACAATTGTTTTATTATAAGCGATATCTTACATTAAAGACTCATTTGGAAGTGTTTTAACAATAATTAGCGGTTTTAAAGAAAATACTTTTGGATTTCAAAAGCATTTGAAGTGCTTCCTGCAAGAAACACAAAACTTGTGTTTCTTGCAAAAAAACACTTCAAGTTCTTTTTTTAAAATTCACTTACATTTTTGCTAAAGATTAGTACAAAAAATATATTAAACAAAAGCTATTTTAATCATTTTAAAAGTACATCTAAACGATCTTAAAGAATGGAGAATAAATGAACCCATGATGCAATGCGTTGATGATGAAGAGTGTGATCGTCCATCCACCACTTATGGATTGGTTATTTACAATTATATACATCAACTTTGTAGCAAAAAATAACAATTTAAAGGAAAATAACGATTTATCACTCTACCAGCAATGAGATATGAGGAATTAGCTCAAATATTTCAAAAAAATATACAACGTGACTATGAAAGTAAACAAAATTTAAATATTATCTCATTAAAATCATCTCCAACTTTTGACTTAAAACCTAAACATTTTAGCCTAGAAAATTTAGGTTTTAACTCATAAACAACTTTTTTGCTCCAACTTTTCTAGCCTAAAATTTTAGCCCCATATTATCAAAGAATGAATTTAGACTATTTTTTTTTTTTAGATTAACTTTAAAAAAAATTGTGCAGACTATCATAAGTTAATTTTATGAACATTTTAACCTAAACATATTTAAATTTTGATAAATATTGAAATATCACTAAATCGATACATGAAACTCATGAAATACTATGGATGTCACAGCCCGTCCCGAAATATTTATTTTCAATGGCGTGAATATATACCCTTGGATGTTAAGTTTTATTGTGGAGTGTAGTTTAGACTTAAGCTTGAGGACCAATTAGTTCTATTCCTAATTAATTGGACCCAATTAGAAGTAAGATTTTGTTGATTTTGGTGGGTGACCCACATGGACACACACACACACGCTCTCTCTCCCGTTGACACTATCTCTCTCTCCTCCTTCTAGGGTTTCTTTCCATTTTCCGTACAACGTACGGACCAGTTTCAAAACCCCTTGATCATTCATGGATCGAGGCTAAAGTTTGTGTCTTTGAGTTCTTGGCAAGCTAAGGATCACAACCACACCTTTCTTTGGATGTGAAACCCTCGATTTCCCGAGAACCCGAGAAGCCAGATTCAAGGTACTGTTCATGCACACGTAAATGTGAAGTTTTTATAAGATTTTAAGCCTCTAGGAAGCTTTAGAACGTTTTCGCGAAGCTCAGAGAAGAAAAACGAAGTGTTTTGGACGTCGGGAAGTTGAGTTTGGCGAGTTTGAAATTTGGCCGGAATCATCATGCTTTCTCCAGCAAGATCCCGTGATTTTTGGAGCTTGAAATTGGTAAGATTGTGTTCTTCTAGTCCTAAGCTTCATTTTGGTTAAGATTTCATGAAATTTGGTTGAGAAATGGAAGAGAAATGAAGGTTTAAACATTTTCCAGTTTTTAGGCGACGACGGCGACCGGCGAGGTTCACCGGAGAAGAAAGAAGAATATTCCGTCAAAGTTAACGGAATATTCCTAACGGAGGGTAACGGCGTCAGGTAATTTGGAGGGAATATTCCTAATTCCTAACGGCGGTTAGGGATTCTGTTAGGATTCTCTGCGTGTGGTGGCACGTGGGACGTTGGAAATTTTTTCTAAAAATATAGGGATGTTCGTGAGGTTGTGTAGATCAAGTTGGTATATTCAAACATCCCATTTGAGCAATGTATGAGAAGTTATTAACTAATTTTATGTATGAGAAGTTATTAACTAGTTTTGTCTATGTGCTTTAAATAATGTTTATTCAGTTATTTCGCATATAGTTGAGACCTATCCCGAGGACGAGTGCAGTCAAGGGCGACTTTGGGGCTACGACCCTTCTACATACCAGTGAGTGGGCTTTTGGTTTTCAGTATATATTTATATACTTGATATTTTCCCAGAAAATGTGTTTAAATGAAAGTATGCTTTGAAATGCCATGCATATCAATTTATATTCAGCATATGAATTAGTATATGATGCATAATATGAATTGGTGTTGTGGACGCTCAGGTAAGTACCAAGTGAGTTATGTTTGTTATATGAGATGTTAGAGCACTTGATAAATGAAATGGTTTTGAAAAGCTTTGTTTTTGCCCACTCACACTTTCTGTTTTGCGTCTCTTCAGGTTTTAGATAAGCTTGTTCGTTTGTGGCTCACGAGGATTGATTGGAGGTTCTGACAGACTATCACAAATGTAGGGCATCTTTGGGTGTCGTTTAATTAGTACTTGTTTTCTAGACTGAACTTATGCTACTTACGCTCTGATTGTGTATTCACACATATTCTAGCACTTGTCTTAACTAGTACTCTTATGAGTTGGTTTTCATTTATTCGTATTCTCTATTATCATTATTGCTTCTGCACTGTGCACATGGTTACGTCACCCTCACGTGACAACCAGCATGCCCTGATTCGGGTCGGGGTGTGTCAATGGAAGAATATGAAAATCATGATAGACATGTATAAACACAAAATACATGAAACACACAAGACACACATAACACGTGTGAAACACATACAAAACACATTATAAAGATGTATAACACACTAAACATGTGAAACACATGACACACATGAAACAATATCAAATACATACAAAACACATGAAACATATGAAACACAAACCTAAACACATGAAATACAAACCTTCAATCATCCTCTATATATAGCATATGTTGAATATCTAACCATCACACAACATATTCACTAATCTTCCAACTTTCAAAGTGTTTTTGTTTCCTCGAAATCATCAATATCTCATCAATGTTGTTATTTTATGTAATAATTTTAAGTATACTATGTTGGTATTTTCTAGTAATAAATTGAAGTGTCTTCTTGTGACAAGTCTTTTGTCTAGTACGTTGTCAAAATTATTGAAGGCATCTATTCTATATCAAAGTGTGCAACAATAAGTACAATAATTATTGAAGACATATAGATTAATAGAAACAATAATTAATAAGCCATAAATTTAATACACACAATAATTAATAAGTCATAAACTTAATACAAACGACAATTAATAAACAACATAAACTTAATACAATCGATAATTCATAAACTACATAAACTTAATAATGATATCCACTATCTTGCCTTGGTGATGGACTTGGGATACAACCTTGAAATGAATCATCATCTTGAAATATAGTCCTTGTGGCATGCCTTCGCAAAATTTCCTTTTACTTATCACGCAAGAACTTATTCCTCTATGGAGTGTATTTGTTGAGATCCTCCATCATGAAATTACTTTCGAACCTTTCCTGCTCCCTATCCCTTTCGTGCATAATGGCCAAACGCATTTGGGCCGCTTCTTCCTCCCGAGAGCTACGACTTTTGGTCAATCTTGCAAATCCGGTAGCAATTTGTGCACTAATTGGATCTTGGGACTTCCCTTTTCTCTTTGTGTCGTTTTGCTTATTTCTTCCTGGGGGGCTTACAAAAGAATAAGTTAGGGTCAATTCATTGACACCTTCATTGACATCATTTATCTGTGGGGCTTCACTATGAAATAATCTTCCCCATTGTTGGTCTGCATCGGTTCCCCACCTTGGACAATCCTTGAGGGCGTTCCAAGCTGATGCAACTTAAAAGCTTGATTTTTTGGTGTAGTTCTTGTCTTGTGACAATCCTTGAGGGTGTTCCAAGAAATACAGAAAAATAATTAGTTGCAAAATAATATTATATACATGATGAATAAAATATCAACAAAGAAACTCACAACTTTTGGGGCGCTCCTTCCATTAGCCATGTCAACCACGGCTATCTCCAAGCTTCCCTTCCATAAAGTGCACGCTTTGTTGATAACCTTCCACTGATCATAAACACCACCACCTTCCCTTCGGTCGGCATTGTAGTTTTCATTGAACTTCTCAACGATTTTACCCCACAAAACCTTTTTATTTTGATTCGTACCAACGACACCATCTTCGCTAATAGAAACCTATGTCAAACATAAAGCAACATCTTCCTCAAAGGTCCAATTACGACCTCTAATATGCTCTTTTGCTATCTTGAAAATTTTGAAAATGGGAAGAAATAGTAGAAAGAAAAATTGGAAGAATTGTAGGAGAAAAGTGAGTTTTGTGTGGATGTTTGAATAAATACATTGGTATTTATAGAGTTTTTGGGTGAATTTTGAGTTTAATATATTTTTAATTATTTTAGCCGTTGGATTCAATAAATATATAAATAAATAAAAAATTCAAATGTAGGCCGTTGGATCAACCAATGGCTTGTTTATCTCAGCTGTTGGATTAGAATGAGCCGTTGGATCTCTGGCGCAAGTGGCCGACATGTCCACATGGGTGGGGCCATGCCGGTCTTAGCCTTGGCGCGTCACCCACGTCTCCTGGGGGCGTTTGGCGCTCAAGCGCCGAGTTTCACTCACGCTGGTTGGGCCCACACCATTTTATGGGCAAAATTTGGGCCGATTTCTGCCTTTTTTTTATTTTTTATTTTTTAAGTTTTAGGTTTTAGGTCCAAACTAGAATTGAGTTGGAATGAATTGAGGGGGAATAAAAGGGAAATTATTGGTTTTAGGCCATGGGTTGGACCGTTGGAGTTGGCCTAAGCAATGAAAACCAATTTTCCCGCCACCAAAGATAGGGTTTATAAATCCCCAATTGCGCAGCGCCAATTATGTTACACGCGTCCACGCCATTCCATTCCGCATCCCCAAATATTTGACCCCAATTGACTTAACTCGAGTTCAAATTGCAACGCTATCACTATCAATTCTTCACCGGTGTCGATACTTCAAGGGATGGCCGGCCAAACCGATCCCAGCCTGTCTGTCTTTTCCGGCGAAGAGGTTCAGCTCTCTCCCACTTCGTGTTCATCTGTTTTATTAGCTTACTGTGGTTGTTTTGTTTTTAATATCAATCATTTCTGTGAATTTAATTTGAATTCGAAATCGCAGGTCGAGTTTATGGCCGAAGATGAAATGGTGGAGATTGTCCCCAATATGCGAATGGACCCTCTCAACATGCTTTGTGTATGTTCTTCGCTCTGTTCATGTTATTGTATGGAAGATTGAGCTGGTTTACTGCAGGTGGGTAACTTGTATCATGGATTTACAGGGAGATTTCGGTCCATTCCACCCACAAATGAAAACCCAAGTACCGTTGTGGCTGGCAATTGCTATGAAGAAGAGAGGGAAATGTACAATTCAGCCCCCAGAGTGGATGTCTATCGGTGAGTCCTGCTTTGGTGTTAGTTCGATTAATGGTTCTGTGTTTGTGACATGTTAATCTAAGAATGTCGAAGAAATGTGCTTAAATGGATTGATTTGTTTTAATGTCTAGTAGATTTTTATGCTTTGATGATGGATGGATTTGGGTGGTTACCATGCTGCCTTTTTCATTGCAAATAGTTCAAAATTCGTCTTGCTTCTTTTGGCTGCCGCTGTGGGGTATTTTGTTGGAAATGCTTGCGCATCAGCAGTTAATATGTGAGAGTTTTTAGGTTAACGTGTGTTTTTTTTCAATGTGTAAATGCAATATTGAAATAATACGTATTTAATTGTCTTCGGTCTTTACCAAAAAAATAATTCGTATTAATTGGAACCTGTTCATTTGTTGAATTTGGTAGTACTTATTACTTAACATGGGATTGGAACTCAAACGAATTTCCATTATGTTGAACTCTCTAGCCATATGCTACAAGTAATCCAATGCATTCCATTCATTTAACTTATTATGTCCTGGGAATAGAAAACTTGACTCGGATTTTGGAAGCAGAGCGTGATTCGCAGGCAGCATTTCAAGTTCTACCTTTCCATTATGTTGAAATCTCTAGCCTTCTTTTTGAATAGTAAGTTGTGAATCATTGTACATATTCTATATTTCATTGTAAAATATGTTGATGGCATCTCTAACTTTTTTGATGATAGTGCACCTGGTGACATTCCTGACATGTATATGGTGAGTTCAGGACTCTTTCAACCTGTATTTAACCATCAACCCTATTTGCAATGATCTCACTGTAGTTATTTCTAATAGGTGAGGTCTCTTATTAACGACATAAAGGATGTAAGGTTTCATAAGGTTGAGAGTAGCTTAGAATCATTCGAGGAAGCTCACTCTTCTGCAGTGATGGTATGTGCATTTATTTTATGGTGCAATTGGATGAGCTGATTCGGAACTACTTCGAATGAAATGTTATATAATATGGAATTCATGTATGTTGGTAATATATCCATCTGCACACCCCTTTTGAGTGGTGCTCTTGAGCAGATTTGATTTGTACTTGCAGGTGAAGGATCTATCTGCCATGGAAGTGAATTTAGTTCGCCCATTTGTTGGAAGAGCCTTACAGGCATTTTATAAGCATGGCAGTCCAGAGCTGGTTCCAAATCCAGATGGAATGTCCACCAGACGGCCACAAGCGACTGACAATATACCAAGAGTATGTGGCTATGTGATCCATACTTCTCTTTTCTTTGTTTAGTAGAATTGCGAAGGTGAAGCGATTATTTGTGTTATTTGTTGGGAGAGACAATTTGTCTCACTAACAACTGTGACTGGTTGTATTTGATTTGTGTATCTAAGACACATATTGTTTATAAACGGTTTATTAACTCTATTTTCTTTTTTTTCAGCGCCCTCTGCGGAGACGGTAAAAGCTTTTGTAGAGGCAACACGTACCTTTCAATTCAGCAAACCACTAATTTCAGTATGCTCGCAAGGAAAGTACTTCTTTCACCGAAAGCCATTTTTAGTAATAACCCTGTGACTACAGAAAGATTGTACACATAGGTGCATGTTTCCCGGTCTTCTTTTGCCTAGTTCATCCTGGCACCTAGGATCTAGCTTTTTGGATCGCTTTGCTTATGTAATATTGGCCTGTGATTGGTTGATTGCTTGGTGTTCGATCCATAGACCACTAATCTCTTTAGGGCCTTCCTCCTTTTCTAGTTCATTGGTGTTTGATAACCAAACAGCACTTTGGAAGCTTTTAACCAGTCTCCCAATCAAATTTTTAACATTGCAAAAACGATAACTGAGTGATTGTAACTCATGATGCAAGCTTATTTTGTTGAAATTATAGTTCTCTCTCTCTCTCTCTCATGGTACTCATGTATTCAGAAACATATAAGAACAGATATTAGCTTGATGCATAAACTATTGGATCAAGACTCTCTGCCTGTTTCTATTGTTGATGCTTTTCTTGTGTACCTAGATAGTTGGGAATAAGTTTTATATAGCATTATAGGTTGCTTTCTCATGCACTTTGGAGAGAATCACTGCTCCAAATGTATAATTTTGAAATATCTTTAGGACAGAACAATTTGCTGTCTAAAAAGTAGTTTTGAGAATAATTAGCTGTAATAATGTGGTGGCCTCAAATAAAAAAGAAATAAACATAGAAAACTGTAAATAATTGTTTCTGCTACTTTTTTTTTTAAAAAAAATTAATTATTTGCTTGATGTCTATCTTTATTTCCAGAATTATAAATAGGAATCTAAATGACTGGATTGACATTTGGATATTCCTCAGTGGTCCAAGTTGATTGGGTCATAACATGCCTCCTGTTCCCTCTGCCCCCACTCTATATTAAAGGGGTAATTTATAAGAGTGTCTGTTTGCCACATGCATTTTGGTTGTCCAGTTTTGTGTTCAATGTTAGGCCAAAGTACAACCCATAAACAGAGGGGAACCGATGGATTTTAGATGTCTAATGCTCAAGTTATAGGAAAAGAAAATTAAATTGAATGACATATTGGGACTTAGAAAGTGCTTTTTCGATAGCTAAAAGCGTTTTTAGATAACCAAGAAAAAATTGATAGTGTGTATATTGTAAATGCGTTTAGAAGTGCTTCATACTAGTGCTTCTCTAGGAAGTACTTAAATTTTTATTGAAAGTTTGACGTCTTTAATAAAAGTGCCTCCAGCAAAAGCGCGTACGACTTACGAGAAAAACTTTTAAGAGTCTTCATAGATTAACGTATGATTATGATATACGTCTAGTTGTTTTTCATAAATAATTTCAAGGTCTTATTTTATTGGTAATTATTGTATTCCCCCTTATGAGGTCCCAATTTTGCAATCATTAGCTTTCTCTTTGACAGAAGAATGTTATTATATTGCTCATTAGCTTATCCGAAAGGGAAAAGCTTTGAGATTGCAGATTGATAGGTGAGTATTTAAATTATGTTTAATTCCAGTAAGCCGTTGCATATGCTTACCAAGGCTTCCAGCCTGGCAAATGGCCACTGGTTTAATTCGTTGGTGTTTTTTTAAGGTCGAAATAGTTAGATAGATCATAGAACATAGTAGTAGATATGCGAGTCAATGGTTTGTAAATTGCAACATGGTCTTTCCTAGTGTGCTGTGTTTTAAGGAGGTTGCGTAGTGATTTGTTTAGGGGGATTTGGTCAAAATCTACCTTTTGCATTCCTATTTAACGGAAAATACTTTTTAATTCCCGTTTTAGCGTCCCCCTCACGATATCTCCTCTCATGTGATGTGCGGAGAGAAGTAGAAAGGGGCACATTGAAATGGAGATGACGAATTCCTCAATTCCTCCAACACTATAACGAAGCTGTTAACTTTTATTTATTGAATAATTGATCCTGAAGAAAATGTGTGGTATGCTTTGTTCGTTTTTTTTTAATTTTTTTTGTTAGATGGTGACCTTTTCTTTTAGTTGAATTTTCAAGTCTTGGATGGTGACCAAGAATTAAGTATTTGAATTGGAAAGAAAAAGAATACAAGTTTGGCATTTGGTTGACCTTTTTTTTATTTCAAAGTTGGTTCTGTAACCAAACAAAGGGGGGGAAATAACTATGTACAGTGATGATGACGTTTTATTTATTCATATTTGGTTCTCAGTTGTTTTTTAACGTGTCTATTCACATCGCACAATTTTGTTCATTCAATTTATTATAGATGCTAGTTTGTACTAGTTGTTTTTACATTAAAACTCGTTTGTGATACGCTTAGCGTCAATTTCACGTGCATGTAGTACTCGAGTGTAGATTAATACACCTAGATTGTTCATATAACTACTTTCTGTATGGACTCGAGTGTCTTTCTAATTTTGATGAGCATAATGTTATTGTTGAGATATTTGTGCTTTCCTGCTTTTATACATTTTGCTTTGATTTTTCTAACTTATTTGTGGCATTTACACATCATTAGCATGTTATGCAGTTATGGCTTTTGTCACTCTCTGAGTGTTAGCCACATGCTTTCATTTTGGTATCCATTTCGATATTCGGGTCAAGGTGTGCCAATTTAATGAGATAAAACATGTGTTCAAATATATCATGTCTATAATAATTTGGTTGATCATACATTTGTAATGCACTGTGTCTCAATAGTTTCCTTTTTTTTTCTTCATGTTTTTCATATTGCGGAGATTTTCTCAAAAGTATGACTCTTTATAGACTTTCTGTCCTCTTATGTTTTTGGTACAAATCCCGTGAAAATATTATAAAGTATCATGCAAAAAACATGAGGTTTCAAAGAATTCATAAAGAGTCACATTTGAGAGAGTCTTCTTAGAATTTCTCAAATAACAATGCCATTCATAAAGTTTGAACTTGTAACTTGTCATCAATATCAACCAAACAGTCATGGACACATAGATGTTGGATTTGGGCTTAGACGAGTTGGCCGAAGATATGCTCCTCTTTTTGTATTAAAAATAAAATCTCTCTTTCCAATGTAGATAAATTTAGGACTAGTCTGATATTCTTTGATGTTTCACATTTTTTAATAAGCTATTTTTTTATTTATTAAAACAACACAATTTCAAACCAGCGCTCAGTATAAATTATCTCATTTAGGCCTCGTTTGGCACGCCGTATAAAGGACCGGATAGTATTAGTAGTACGGTATCAGCCGTTTGGTGTTCCAACGTACTAATTAAGCACCGGATAAACAAAACTGGTCCCACCACTTTAATCCCCCTCACACCCGCTAATTTATACACTCCAATACCTTCGTATAATTTAGTCGGTTCTTTCTTTCTCCAACCTTTGTTCCTGCGCATCACTAAATCCTCATCCAAGTTTCCTTCTCTCCCTTTCTCCCTCCCCACCTCCGATCAACATCAAGCACATATAAACAGAAAATCATAGGTGGCGTATTAAACCCAGGCCATGGCGTCCCTATTCAGACATCCATGATGGCGGATCGAACTAGAATCAGAGAGATGTTATCTGGGTTTTTTGGCCTGATGGAGGAGGTTGAATTCCAAAAAAAATCACCTCATATCTCTGTGTTTCAGATTTGAAATTTAACCCGAAAGATGGAGCTGCACTGAGTCACCTGTATAACAAATTTCTGCTTGTTGAGTGAGCAAGTACCGAGTCTGTAATTTGGAGGTTGGTCTCTCCAAATTTGAGGTTTTAATTGGTTTTTGAAGGAAATTGAAGGTGATTATGGTGGTGACGAATCAATGCGCCGCGATGAGCAATTTATTTTTTCAAATTGGGTTGTGCTCTAATTTGAGACTTTTTCATTTGTTTCTTATCGTGAAGATGAGATTTGAAAAGCATGTGGATTAGGTTTTGCTCTAATTTGGGGCTTTTTCATTTGCTTCTTATCGTGAAGATAGGATTTAAAATCATGGATTTCTAGATAATTACATTGAATTTATAGAATTAGGTTTCTAATATATAATCTGTATCTATTAAATTGGATGGAAGGATCAATTTCATCTTTATACTCATCAATTGCCATCCTTACTTATAATCAGTGGTTTTTTTTTTTTTTTTTTTTAAATCCGGCTCAATACCAAATAGAGTATAAATAATACAGTAATTAGTCCGATATTCACCAAACGCCCGATTAATTTAGTCAGTACTATCCGGTCACTATTTATCCTATCCGACTTAAATAGTCAGTACAGTCCGAACTGCCAAACGAGGCCTTATTGTCATAAAAATGGCTATGGACAATGAAAAAGTTGAGGGTATGGCTACTAGCGCGTGAGCCACGTGAACGTAGCTGAAAGTGGGGCTGGATATGGGCAGAGGGAAGGAAAGCCATGGGATCCTTCTTGGTGGTCCAAAACGGACCGATCATCCAATACGTAAGGCATGAGTATTTGCACTTGCCCTCGGTCGCAATTGTCCTCATCATCTTCTTTCAAACCTGCATAAGGCGAGAAAGTGAAATATACTGCCTTGCAGCCGCGTGTGGTCCCACGCTGGCTCATCTGCTCTTATTAGCGCCAAATTTGATTTGTTTTTGCGTTTCTCTTTTACAAACCGTTATTTTAAACGGAAATATTTTTGCTCATCACCTACATCAGCAATTCTTGTTATTTATTTATTATTGTTGGATGAGTTTAAATTTCGCTATTTGTGAATTGGATAAACACAAGGCCAAATCAGATAAATGGTCCATATGGTTATATGGTATCGGAAGATAACTCATGTGGTAAAAAAAATATGGATTTAAACCCTTATGATGAAGTCTATTAGAATTTATGCTCAAAATTAAAATTTTCGTCGTTTTTCTATTACTAGCATGCACTTGACCCTCATGTCCGGAGCTAAAATCGTCATTTCAGAACCAGAACCAAACACATACCCTCTCTCTCTCTCTCTCTCTCTCTCTCTCTCTCTCTCTCTCTTTCCTCTTCATTTCTTCCTTCTATCTGTGCAACCCGTCGAACCCATAACCAGAACTAGAACCAAACGCAACTTTCATCTTCCCGATGGTCGATTCAATTCCCCCAGCTCAAATGGAAGCTATGTAAGCTACTCCTTCCACTCTCTCTGCCCAAACCCATAGACATCTCCTCTAACCAATTGAGGTTTCTGAACCACCATTTCCCAGCCCACGAAGATGTTGTCCATCTAGGTTTTAAAAATATGGGTCACTTATAATTTTTTCCCTTTTTGGGTGTTGCAGGTTATCAAGATTGCAATAATACCTAAATATTTTGGTGCAACGTCTCCATTCAATCTTCTCTTAGACTTCGATGTGACTATTCATACAAGAACCAAACTGTTATGATTTCAATCGAAAATTTTTGTTTGTGATTTCTTTGCTTTAGAATCGGGAATGTGTATGATTGAGGGTTTTAGTTATGAACACTAAACTGATTAATGAAATGACCGTTTTAGCCTCACACTAACAGAGGAAAAACCAAAGTTTTAATTTTGGGACATAAATC